TCCCTTTCTTTTCCTCCCCCTCCATGTCCTTTTATTTTCCTCCATTCCCCTCCCTTCCCTTCCCTTTACTATTTTCTATCCAAACAAGGGCTTAGCTCTCTCCTTCCTCTCCATCCCTCTCTCATTTCCTTTCATCCTTTCGCTGTTCTCGGTGGAAGGGCTGGACGGCACCGGTTGAGGCTCTAGTTACGGTCCGGCCGCACCGATCGAAGTTTGGGGCCAAGAAATTTGGATAGCGCTCTTTTTTCAAGTCGCATTTTTGCCTGATCCGGCGCCGTCGCTCTTTGGATTGACGCTCCCATGGCGGCGAACGGTGCCTGGAGGACAGATCCGGCACTGTGGCAAGTCGAATTGGTCTTCTACAGCGTTCGATCGGTGCCAGGAGGAAAGATCCTGTCTCCGTGACGTGCTCATTGCTTTAGGCTCCGATTGACTCTTCCATGGTGACTGCCGTTGAACTGGGAGATGGATCCGGCGTTGTTCCGGATCTGACACAAATAGAGCACCGAAGTGGTGCTATGTTTCCTACTGTTACACAGCAGCCGTCATTGTTCTACTGGCCAACCGGTGTTTCTACGAGGCAGTGGCCGTATCGCCTTACCTTGGATCCGCGGCATCCGTCCTTGTGAATTTTAAAGGGAGGGCATGCACTCAGAATTCAAACCATAATGAGGCGTTTTGGAGGTTCTGGCACCTAGGTAGAGTTCATACGGAGAGGTAATTCATTAATCTTTATATTTTTCTTTTATGGTTTCAAATAGGCAAGATTCTATCTCTTTCACACATGTTTGGGAACTACTTTAGTTAAAAGACTATCATTCTCTATACTATGAGAAGAGAAGAAATTGATGATTGCTTAGTGACTAAAGCATGAAAATGTATATTTAAAGTGTGTTTAACCATTGATATTTGTGGAATTATGGGTTTAAGTGTTATATTTTTCTACAAATAATTTCATAAATGCTTATTCTATTTAAATGCAAATTTCTTATGAGTGAAGATTTGATATTAAATGGAGAGAATTAGAAGAAAAGAAGTTAAATGCAAAGAACCAGAAAGATGAGGGTCCAAGGATTAAATTTAGAAGTTTTAAAACTCAAGTGGGATTTTCTCCATTATGTAAGTTTGTGAAGTTGACGTGTTAATGAGGTGTTGGAACTGTTTTCAAGTTCCAACCCTTGGCCTATGGAAAATGATAGACAGTAGCATGAGGGGTTTCACACTCTGTGATTAGGATCCAATCCCTGGTTAGTTATGCACAAAAATAGAAACATGCAGGGTTCTGCACCTTGACTTGAGATTTCAACCCTGTCTAACAAGATTGTGCAGGAAGAAAGAAGAAAATAAAATTAACTCCACAGGGCTACTATTTTAGTTAGGAGCCTTTAAAATTAGGTTTAGTATCGAGAGAAGTTATTCTTAGGCACATATTTTCTTCTTTTCTAGTGCTAGAGAATTATGTTAAGGTAGGCTAGAGAGGATCTTAATTGAGGAGTTTAACTTGTTATTTTATTTTGATTCCTTTATAGATTTTATTGTTTAATTTTATTCTTGAGAGATTATTAATTATTTTCAGATTTGAAAACTCTACAAAGTGTTAACTGCTTACCATCCACAGACTAATGGGTAAGCTGAGATAGCCAATAGGGAGTTCAAACAAATTTAGGAGAAAACGATAAACCCAAATTGTAAAGATTGGTCTTTACGCCTTTCAGATGTACTTTGGGCATATTGCACTGCCTATAAAACTATTCTTGAGATGTCTCCATACCAGATTGTATATGGAAAAGCATGTCATTTACTTGTGGAGCTTGAACATAAAGCTTATTGGGCTATTGGGCTACTAAAGCACTTAATTTTGGTTTGAATGTTGCAGGTACCCGAAGGAAGTTACAAATATCAGAGATAGAAGAGTTGAGGAACAATGCATATGATAACTCTAGGATCTACAAGACTAAATTGAAAGCAGCTCATGACAGGCAGATCCTAAGAAAGAACTTTGAGCCAAATCAAAAAGTGCATCTTTATGATTCTCATTTACATCTCCATCCA